CATCTCAGCTTCAGCTGTCATAATAAACAAATAATAGACAATCGTTTATCTGTGTTGACACTGTAGACCATCTCAGCTTCAGCTGTCATAATAAACAAATAATAGACAATCGTTTATCTGTGTTGACACTGTAGACCATCTCAGCTTCAGTTGTGATTTCGGTCTCTGAAATTTGTCGAATTTTGCTTCTAATTTACAGGGGCACGAGCTGTGTCGGATTCTGATAACGAAGCTACATTTATTGTTCTCCAAGAAACTATGATTCAAATCATGGAGAGACTCGTAGATAATTCTTCATCACCACCAGATGGAAAATAGCTGCAAACCCTTCTGCTTCCAGTTACTTCCTTTAGTATGCTTATTACACTAACTTAAGCCCCACAGTGGCACAGCGGTATGTACTGCTAGACACCGGGTTTCGATACCCGTGGTGGGCAGATCACAGATAGCCCTTTGTGCTTAATAACAAACAAAAACGCCATTAACTTAAGAAATAAATAAGTGGATAACTTGTATAATTCAAAAAGTGACATAAACTGGCTCTGAATGGAATCACAGAGGTATGTTCTCCACACTGTCATTTTAAGAAAGCTTAAATAATCAAGCAGTTTTTATAAGTAAAAACACTTACCTTCTCTGAATAGCAAATAGTTTATTGCGGTACGTTATTGTGACTTCAAGATTTCAAATTTTGATGACTATGTTTATTAGTTGTATCCGTTAAAGCATAAAAATAGAACTGATTCTGTTTTTCACCATACATATGTGAAGGAAGTGGCAAGAAATTCATTTAAACCACCACGATACTTCACTATAATCAAGCTTTAAAAGATTAAAGTTACAAAAAAAATTATAATAAAGCTTGATGCTAACATCAGATCATTATAGCCTTGTTAATAAGTAATGAAACATAATTACAATGAACCCATTACAATTACAACTAAAACCAGTGAATGTAATCTAATGTATAAACTAGTTTCTACCAATTTCCTGGGAAAGTAAAGGAGAACATGTCAGAACACGAATCGCAAATAGTATTTTTATTTCTTATAAACGAACAGTGTTGAAAATAAGTATAGAAACAGTGAATATAATGGATATAAAATGCAAATATTATAGGATTCCTTCATCTCTATTATATATAACTGAATTGCACCAATGTAGTGTCATATGTTAATAGCTTACACTGTGATTGACCGTCATTCAACCAATCAGAAGGTGCCACCAGGCCATGCAAGGCGTAACAGCGTATACCAACTACAGAGTAGTCAGAGGTAAGTTTACGTACTTACAACTCTAAAATCGGGAATTCGATACCCCCGCAGTGGACAGAGTATGGATAGCCCAAAGTGAAAAGCATTCAATGATACCTCATGACCTCGTATTTTAAGCATGAAAAATCAGTTTCAGACTCAGGGTCAGTCGTGTAAGCCATTGGCCTGATCCGGTAGCATGAGCTTTCTACCTAGTACCAAACATAATATTGCCCATTAACTAAAATGATGCTCTTTACAGAGGATTACAAATTAAAATTGCTCTTCACCAATCAGTGACAGCTTCTTTGATGTCGAAGAGTATCACACTGAATGTACCACGTTTACAGTGAATCGTGCTGGAGACCAGTTTCATTTGTGGGAATGCATCTAAGCCAATAGTTTGGAGCTCTGCACAAATTGATGACACTCTGACTACTGACAAATACGAATATATTATTTTCCATTGTGTTATTTCATTAGGAGTATGGCCTGTTTGGAGAGGATTAGTCTTCTAGAAAGACAGCGATTTCAAGCATGTAGCAAATGTGTAGAAACGATATCAGGAAATTAAAAGAGTCTTCTGGAATATTATTCAGTTGTTGGGCTTCTTTCGGACTGAGAAAGTCAAACGATAACCATAAAACTTTCCTGAATTGTGGGCATTAATACAGGAAATTTGGAACAATGTTTCACGATGATACTTTGATAAACTTATGGCTTCATAAAAACATAATGCACTGCTCTCTTTACAGCTAATACGAAATAACAGTGCACAACTTATTCACTTTTATTTTGTATTTTCTGTAATAATTTATCATGCTAAGTATAAAATAACGATTTAGTTGTAATTAATTAATTAATTAATCTTGTATTTTTATCGCCTGCACGTTTCCAAAATTATTCCCAAACTATATAAAATATACATTTTTAATAGAATTTTAATTTCTTTCAAAGGTAATTTTAGTAATTACTGGAAATAACAATTTATTTAAAACACGTTGATAGGTGGAGCTTATTTTCAGGATTATTTAATCACATTCTTGTTTAGAATCCACCCTACTCGATATTAAAGAAGGATAATAGTGGAGTTCTGGTAGGAAACAACCGCTATGAAGGTTATTGCATTGATCTGATTCACGAGATATCGAAGATCTTGGAATTTAAATACACGATCAAAGAAGTAGAAGACAAGACCTATGGCAAGAGAAATGAGCACGGAGAATGGAATGGAATGATTCGGGAACTCATCGATGGGGTAGGCTAAAATTGTAACTCCAAGTTAATGACAATTGGATATAATACTAAATTATAAACCTCTGTTTTGTTTCGTAAAAATTTGTTGTTGTTGTTGTTTTTCAATTGCTTGTTCCTTCATATCAAATTTACTCATAGTTAATTAATACATCCAACAGCAATGGATTTCAGTTCGAATTTGAGAACGATTCAGGTAACAATTAGTTACCGTCGTCTACTTTTGTTTTAAGAGAACAACAGAGTGACACTGTAGTAAGGTAATGTTTAACATACATTCTAGATAGGGAATATAATATAATTTAAACAGCTCTGTACAGTTTAGGACTGTAGCTCAAATATTCACATATTTTCAGACTTAGCAGATAGATCTTAACTGAAGTAATCTGTGGAATATGAAATATAGATCTTAACTGAAGTAATCTGTGGAATATGAAAGATAGATCTTAACTGAAGTAATCTGTGGAATATGAAAGATAGATCTTAACTGAAGTAACTAGTGAAACATGGAAGATAGATCTTAACTGAAGTAACATGTTCCACAAGTTATTTCAGTTAAGATCCATCTTTCATGTTCCACAAGTTATTTCAGTTAAGATCCATCTTTCATGTTCCACAAGTTACTTCAGTTAAGATCCATCTTTCATGTTTACAAGTTACTTCAGTTAAGATCCATCTTTCATGTTCCACAAGTTACTTCAGTTAAGATCTATCTTCCATGTTTCACTAGTTACTTCAGTTAAAATCTATCTTCCATGTTTCACTAGTTACTTCAGTTAAGATCTATCTTTCATATTCCACAGAAAAGATATATCTTAACTAAAGTAACTTGTGGAACATGAAAAATAGATCTTAACTGAAGTAACTAGTGGAACATGGAAGATAGATTTTAACTGAAGTAACTAGTGAAACATGAAAGATAGATTTTAACTGAAGTAACTAGTGAAACATGGAAGATAGATCTTAACTGAAGTAACTAGTGAAACATGAAAGATAGATCTTAACTGAAGTAACTTGTAAACATGGAAAATAGATCTTAACTGGCTTTTTTTTAAACAGCTCGAAGTTGAAATTCATAAAGGGTAGATTAAAAGAGAATGCGAAATAAAAAAACATAACAACTTATACTCATTTTTGTTACATAGGTTATTCTTATTAATAATATGTGCTGTGTTGTAGAACTAGAATTAAAGTAGATTTTTAAAATAATTTAATTAATTAACATCAAAAATTAATTAAATAGGTTAAATGAAACTAAATTAAAACGAGGAATCTGTTCAAGTAAGTTAGTTAAACCATTTAAGATTTGCATGGAATTCACGAGACTTTTCATTTTGGAAAAGCTATTATATAGCGTAACGCAATCTATATATATATATAAATGTAAATAGGTATTTTTATTATACAAAATAAAAATGTTGAAACACTAGCTGTTCTACAGTTTAGAAACTTATAATAAACAAATTCAGAGAAACAAATTGAAGAAGTTTGAAATCTACAGCACATATTGGTTTGATGAAAGTAACTCTTTCTATCAGAGTTATATCTCATTAAAATGAAATGAGTTACATTTGTCATAAGACAACAGTATTAGACTTTGATAATTGTCAGATTTCCTTCTCACCATTACAAAATAGAATGATTTTTGATTAATGTTTCTTTTTTTAGAAAGCAGACTTGGCCATTGGAGATTTCACTATCACCTACGAGCGCGAAGAGGCAGTTGACTTTACCATGCCTTTCATGAACCTTGGAATAAGTATACTGTTCAAGAAACCTACCAAAAAAGTCCCCAAATTGTTCTCCTTCCTTTCCCCATTGTCCCTGGAGGTGTGGGTATACATGGTGACTGCTTTCCTGGGGGTCAGCATCTTTCTCTTCATCGTGGCTAGATTCAGCCCGTATGAATGGACTAATCCTCACCCTTGTGACCCTAACCCGGACACTTTGGAGAACCAGTTCAGTCTATTGAACACTTTGTGGTTCACCATTGGTTGTTTGATGCAACAAGGTTCTGAACTAACTCCAAAGTGAGTATGGTTTGTACTTAAACGTTCTAATGAAAATAATTTATGTTACAACGGTTGGCCAGTGCTAAACCGATAGGGCAGATCTATAGTTTGATTCACGCTAAGACCGAACATGTACACATATACGTCTGTAATAGTATATTGTTCATCTTGGCTCAGAAATCACTGTGCTGTTAATCTTTTATAATTCTTTCTTCACAAATTTCCGTTAAATTTGATCATAGAAAAGATTCCAAGAACATTCAACTGTTTCACAAAATGCATATTTTGAGTACGGTAGTAATGAATAGTATTTGTTTGTTTGTTTGTAATTAAGCACAAAGCAACACAATGGGCTATCTGTGCTCTGCCCACCCCGGGTATCGAAACCCGGATTCTAGCGTTGTAAGTACGCAGAAATACCGCTGCGCCACTGGGGGCAATTAATAGTAGGTTTCGACAAGGATTCCATACAATTCACGCGCCGAAAAATCACCCTATCGAATTCCTAAGCGAAAAATCGACCATTCAAAGAATTGGTTGCGATATATTATGTACGTATATACTACTAATACACTAAAATTGGATAGACATGGGACGGTTTCTAAAGGTAAAGTATATACTTTATACCGGTATAACAAAAAATAAACAAACAAAAGTATTAAAAAATTAGTAATTCTAAAATGAAGTAGGGATTCTGCTGCCAAAAGTAATGAAACAAGAATTAAAACTACAATCACGAATTTATAAAATTTAATCCCTACTTTGGCAGCTTTATACACTTACCTGTAGGCCAAAGTAAGGTTAAATTTTATAAATTTGTGATTGTGGTTTTAATTCTTGTAAAAGTTATAGCTATCAGAGGTATGGCTATAAAGAAAGTTTATGGATGTTGTGTTCATTCCATGGACAAATAAACAGGGAACAAAATTTTAATTATAACGGAAACTATGGATCGTTGGTTATTCGTGGATTTACTATAAGAATTATTCAAAACAAAATAAATGCTGAAATAAAAAGTACTCAAACAAGTAAAGTGATACTATTTTGATAGATTTTAAAACGATTTTAAATTCAGTTAGTATCACTTTACTTGTTTGAGTACTTTTTATTTCAGCATTTATTTTGTTTTGAATAATTCTTA